AGGCAAAGGCGACTCCTCTCTAGCGAGACAAGTACAATCCTCATGATAGGTTGCGCTCAACAGTGATGTACGCAGCTACCAATCTGAGGTAAAAGCCGGCTTTCATATAGAATTTGAGCTTTCCTGGTTCGTTTCACCAGGTGGGCGGTATCAGATCAATTTCAAGGGGATGCGCGACAGAAGGTCCCGGTGGGGGAGAAATGGAGACCATCGGAGCGTCCGAACATTCTTACCTTCATTCTATCTTCATTGGGAGAAACAAGAAGCGAAGAATGAGCAGAATCGACGGTTAAGAACTGCTCTTGACATTGCGCCTGAAACGTTGCAACTGTGAGTAGAATTACTGCCTTATCAGTGAGAAAGAATTGCTAGGGAACAAATATAACACTGTGAAAAAAGGCTAACTTTCTCGTGAACCGAGAAAAGTTGCAGCAAGCTTCGGCATTGTTGTGAAACTCCACTGTTTCCGGTATATTGTGCCAAACAGATTGTTAGGTAAAACTACTGATATTAGCTTGACGGGTCAACTACTTCGTCGTCCTCAGAAGCTTAAGGTGGCTGAAAAATTGGAAATTGCCCTTTCAGCATCCGAACGACTCTATTTCCTAGCGTTGACGTGATATCAAGAGAAGAACTGTTCGGACGCTCCGATGGTCTCCATTTCTCCCCCACCGGGACCTTCTGTCGCGCATCCCCTTGAAATTGATCTGATACCGCCCACCTGGTGAAACGAACCAGGAAAGCTCAAATTCTATATGAAAGCCGGCTTTTACCTCAGATTGGTAGCTGCGTACATCACTGTTGAGCGCAACCTATCATGAGGATTGTACTTGTCTCGCTAGAGAGGAGTCGCCTTTGCCTTTGAGATAAGTCTTCTTGATTGACGATATTGTTCGTTTCACGCGCGTTATCCCCCCCCCCCCTCTCCCCCCCTTAGTTGGCGGCAAAGCTACTACAACTGGCAAGTGATCGTAGCTCAACGGCAAAATTTCCAGCAAATTTTTCTAATAGTATAGGTAATGTAGTAGTATTGAGAGTGAGGATCGCAGCTAACCCATGCGTATGCTGTATCTTGAGCAGTGGAGAGCCCTATTTTAAATGTGAACATGACGTTAAAATGAAATCACTTTAGTCAAAATACGCCATCAAAATACTAAATATTATCAAAATGTTACTGGTCGTGGTAAGTAGTAGATGAAGTGGCTACCATCCCGAGTGTTGAGAAGACGATTGAGAGAAAATCCTTACTTTCGCATTATTTGGTGCTTGAGTAGTTGACCTCTCCATCCTTTCATCTTCGTTTTTTCTGAATGAAGTGGTAGAAAATTTATCAGAAGCATCCACGCTCATTTGCTCCTCCGAACGACCGATCTGAAACCAACGATCAAGTCAGAAAGCATACGTTTGTCAAAGCTGTTGTTCACATGAATGAAAAAATGCAGGAAAGGATCGGCAAACATTATGACCTCTGCATCTTTATCAGTACTGTTCACAGTTTTTTCGTGTTCGCTTTCTTCAATGATAGCATCGCAGGCGGTAACGGACGGAGCAATAGAGGAGAGCCGCTCTCCTCGACGATCGCTCTGAATGAAAATCGAGTGCTTATCTGATACTGTTTACAAAGTATAGTAGCGCGGTGGGTGAATAGGCGACGTCAGTTCCCCCACCCCCTTTCCTCCCAGGAAACCAGAGTAGTTCAAGTGGGTTTCCGGAGAGGATCTAGATGAGTACCGTTCAGCCAATTTTTCGATGCTGCGTTCACGCCGACCGCGACTTCGTGACAAGCATTACCACTTACCTGGACCACATTTTTCCCACGTACAGTGTTGTGAGAGCGACGCCGCGCAAGCATACTGTAGTAGTGAGCTGCGTTTAAAGGATTTGCTGTTTTCCTGAGAAATACATATTCTCATGTCATTGCACAATGAAAAAAAAACAATACCATTCACTCACACAACATGGAAATATTCCTCCAGAATGCTCTTCCAGTTTTCAGGAAATCCATTTGCGAAGGCTGTGACAAGGTCGACAGGATATCCTGAAGGGAGCATTGATTTCGAGCGTTATCACAGGCAAGTTTGACTGGTGCACACTATCGTGTCCATCATATGGGGAACTTTATGAAGATTATCAACGACAGCACATCTTCACTCCAAATCTTGCACCCTCTTAACTACATTTGGCTGTTCGCTACCTCGCTCTGCTAATACACCTAGCTAAGATTAGAACACCACAGGATAGTACATAACTTCTAGGAAATTTCTAACATAGGTCATCTTGACATTCCCGTTTCATACCACGCTAAACGTATTCCCCCCCCCCAAGCTTTTATGATTCGATATTGTGAACTTGACAATATAGAGTAATGACAGCGGCAACGCACCTATCAGCTTCTATCTCTTATTATCCCTTCCTGTCACCGATCCGTAATATCCCCATCAAAGCCCCTGTATTACCTGTTGCAACCAACTGCGACGGCAGCTATGGTCACCTTCGCTTCATAGTGCCCCTGGTCAGATTTTATCAGCAGTTCTCCGTTCCTGTCGCCCACCGATGATAATCCTATACAATACCCCATACCATAAAAGGACGACGCCGCTATCTATACCTTTTTGGGATGCGCCGCACATTCAACTTCCATCCATATTCTAGCGGCTCGTTGTATGCGTTGTGGCCTATAAGATGACTTGCGAGGATCAGCCAATGTACATGCCAGTGCTATCATTACATTTTGGCTCCCAACGATTCTGGTCCCAACTACCGTCCCCGGAAGGTAGGCTTGGTTAGCAGGGAGGGAGCCGATCTTGGATGGAACTTTCGGATCGGCCGTGATAAGCTACTCCCCGCCTCCGCCTTATGGAATAAATACCATATTATGGAATAAATTTCCCAACTTTGCTGGTGCCAAATCTGGGTCACCTTCCCTTCCTGAGACCCTCTAATCAAACCTTCCCACTTGTTACAATCTGTCTCTTTCACACCCTTCAAGCGAAAATATAATGGTAGCACTTACCGTATTGATATGCAAGCTCTCGGTCTATGCTGCCTCGGAGTTCGTAGATAGTTCCACTTCGTGACGCCAACAAAGTTGAGGATAACCTTTTCTAAACAACAGCTATGACTAATGATATGCAATAAACGTGGGTTGTCAAAAGGTCAGCATGTGCTTTCTCCATTTCGTTCATTTGAATAGCGATCCTACTGTGGTAATAGCGGCTCTTGAAGTAGCGGTCCGCGTTGACCTATGAAAATGCAAGAGGTTATGTGGGAAGGTAGTGCGGTCCGGAGTGGACAACCCTGTGCCAGTTTCGCGGCGTGTACGGTAAAGGGATTAAGGCGCAAAGTTGCTTCAGTGGTACATCCCTTTTTCCAGTGACTCCGCCTCCAAAGTCGGCCTTCCAGCCAAAAGTAATGCTCCCGGGCAAGTATCATGGAGTGGATGCATTCAATGTCTCTTGTAGAGTCATAGGGTTCATTACTGGGAATCAGCCGACGGGAATTGTCCCAGCGCGCGGTCTTTTCGGTCTTTTACCTCTACAGTTGTTTGAGGCTAGAGAAGGCCTGACAAATGAGCGTTCCCTTTGGCGTTTTCTCTTCATAGACGGTTCACGTGGCGAATTTCCTACCACATTTCTGCGAAGTCACCTAGGCTTTTTATCGCACACCGTGCCTTTAAGTCGTAACATTTGCCTAACATGTTCCCTTCTTAAACAACACGTTGCGATACTTTTTACCTTTTACTGCCTTAGTTTTACGAAACCTGAGTCAGAATTTGGATCAGCTAGAAACCTGCCACCACGAGAAGTTTGGACCCTCGAAATCTCTACTCTAAACCGCTTGTCGTGCGGAGAGCAGCCTGGTGTTTTTTAGAGTAGAGGTCCTGAGGAGTCAAACTACCCCATTAGTGGCGATACATAAGGCTCGGCGCCAGATGGTCTCATATCAAGTGAAGGTGGTTCGTCTTCAGAAGGGAGGGGCGGGGAGCAAACCACCCGTGGTGGTAAATTTTGAGTAATTTGGTGACTTAGGTGTTTTAACTCCAAGGCGCCAGGCGGTTCGTGCCAAGCGCATCTGATATCGAGTCCAAGGTTCAAACCACCCCTGGAGGCAAATTTTCAGCGAAAGCTATCTACGGAGAACAAAGTGGTAGAATTTGGTTTAGTGTCTGGCTAAGGGAGTGCCCACATTATTCTCTTTTTGGGAGTCCGTGAAAGCAGAAAATACTGAAAGAGCAAAAAAGATCGAAGGTGCTTGAACGGTTTACCTCTATAGCGGTGGAGTGCCAATTTCGCAAAACTGTGGCCGTGTCATCACTCGGTCTGTAGCCTTCGATACAGACTTCAAATGTTTCAGTTTCTTCGACGTCAATAAACTGAAAATGAGGGAAATGTGATTGTGCTGGAACAAAAGAAGTAACAAAAACAAGTAGTAGCGAAATCGCAAAAAATTTCCGATTTTTCTCAACTTAAACATGCCACAGAGACAAAACTACCGCGCTATTATCAAATAGGTACGTGAGCATCCCATTGATGAACACTTCGTGAAGATCTATTGGAGAAAACAGCATTGCGTATCATAAGGATCATTATGCGACGGTCGGCCGCTCACCTTTCGGTTGCGTTCATAGATTGGGAGAGCGTTTTGAGCATACGGTAGCGCTTTGAAGGTTTTGAGCGACTAAGAAAGTATAGGTATTAATCATTGCTGAAAACGTTGGCTGACGCTCGAACGCTGGCACAAAGTATGAACGTAGCCTCACATGGGCCACTTGGGCGTCATTATTATAGGCAGTGACCACGCACAGAAGCGTAATAGATACAGAAAAGGGGGGATAGCATACGCCTGGATGAAAGCGAAGATGCACAGAAATGGTGAATCTGATGCAGCAGGACATTGCAGTTTCTGTAGGGGAGCGGTGACTCTCCATTCACAAAAAAAATTGTATTACAACAACTCCAAAACGCTTTTTTTTTCTCCTCAGGGAGTGCCTTTCTGTTGGTGTTGTCTGGAGCCGTCACACCTTCTTCCTGCCAAATTTCATACAAACTTATGTATAGCAGTTACTCAACGTCACAGTTAGCAGGAAAATGACTTTCTAAATTGGGGCGCATTTGGGTCTCAAAAAGACAGCCATCGCATGGAAAAGGAATGCGGTCTCCGCAACTGTCGACCCTATAAACATGGAGTTTCCGCGAAGAATTTAACTTTTTTGGGTTTATGATGGTGAAGCGGTATGGAACTAGTAACAGTTGAATAACTCACTTTAAAGACCCAAAGTCGGAGACTTATTCGTTGATTCTGAGAGCAGGAATTGCTTACAATGGACACCATTATTTGGTTACTACAAGCATATGTACCACCGAAATATAATCTGAAATTGTAATTCGTATTAGTATCAGTATAACCACTGCTGCAAACACTTCAGCCTACGGAATTATCAACATTAAACATGGGTACTCATAAAATAAGCGCAATATTTCGACTCGAGTCGTTTAAATCAGGAACCTGCTGCTTCTCTATGAAAATTCCATTATCAAAAATGAGCAGTTCACATGCCCATCGCAGGCTAACTGGATCCAGAGAAAGTAATTCTATTTTATCATAGTTATAAAAACGAGAAAAGCCTTGAAGGAAGCTATATGATTGAATTATTGGAAATCGCGCGCATTGGCCGAGGCGCGCGCTTTCCTTGGCATAATGCCTAATGATCTTCGTAGCCAAGTGTAATTACGTATCCCTAGTCAATACCGTCGCCTACGCCTACATTTATTTCTTGAATATTTTCTTGTGAATGCTTCCGAATCAGGGCACATCGTTGTTGGGGAATCCCCAATACGGGGTCGTATTTGGCCGCTGCGAAATAAGGACGGCATAGGGAAGTAGATGACAAAAATTATGGGAAGTTGATGCTAAACACTCATGCAAGACACGACATGTTCGAGATGCGGTGCTCAATTTATTAGGTCATCCTTCTCAAGGAACGTGTAAAGTTTCAATCAAATAAACCGAAGAGCAAAAGAGATAAAAAGTAATACTTTGGTCAAGGTAAGTAAATCCCTCTCCCATCAGTGGCCCGCTCCCAGTTTCCCGGGAGCGACTGGACCACTGGCACGTTTTTTCAGCAACTGGAAGTAAAATGCTCTTGATGCCAATTTCGGCAAATGACAAAACGTCTCAGCGTTTACCGTTTGTCAGCACCTTCGAACTGAACAGGTAAAATCGCACGGCTTTAGAGCGGTGAATAAGGCAAATGAACTCAGCTCTCAGTATTGCTTGTATCCGAGCACTGCCCAATAACAGGGTTATTTCGGGCCTGGCACGTGATGAGCGATGGTGGACTTCTTGTAGCCGGCGTGGCCTCGGAAAGCAGGAAATATGCACCGACAGCGGCGGTTTTTCTCCTTGTATAGAGCCGCTTGAAAGGTGAATGCATGAATCTAATGGTATAATGATTATCCGCTTCGGTCCATGTAACTCATCATTGCAGAACTCGGGCTACTTCCCATCTGCATTCAGCTTGTGATGACTATCAGCTCGAAGCTCAAGATCACCCATATTTCGCCTGAGGACACAATTCGATCTCACAGCTGAGAATGACGTCTTAGGCAGCGCTTCAGACTTCGCGACGGCAGCGCTTCGGTCGCGCGTTCGACGCGATCGATGCGCATGCTTTCAACTGCATCGATCGCGTCGAACGCGCGACCGAAGCGCTGCCGTCGCGAAGTCTGAACGCTACCTTAGGCGATGAACATCGCGGCTACAAGCATCGCATCGGTTCTGCGTCGTACTTCGACAAAAAAATGGGGGCCGAAACACACTCTTGCCCATCCTCAAATTTTCAGACGTAAGTCGGGCAGCTGGTGTGTCAGTTTCGCGGGTAACGGGTTCGGTGGTCTCGACAGTGGCTAGTGCTTAACAAACAAATCTTCCACATTCCGCTCTGAAAACACCGTTATACACAACTATTGGTCCAGCCTAGGAAAAATTCTAGCACTTTCCACTTATGACGCCCAATAATCCACATTCCAACGCTGTTTTTGCCACTCGGGTTTCTTTTCAATTTCTTGAGAATCCCTCTGCGGTTAGGTCAGCATTTTCATATATACTTAGCGAAATGTGCTAGCTTTTGAACAATGTAGTACCCCGAGCCTTAGCATCTCTGCTTTCCTGCCACTCCTTTATGTCTCCACGTTTTTGAATGGGATGACCTAATAATTTAATTCATAGTCGTGGTATGCCTGACTTGGGGGATCTGGGCGTTGTACAGGTCAATGAAATCAATAGATGAGCAATTTACATATCGGCACAGGGCTGATAGATCTGGCGCCAGTCAGTACGCTTTTTTTCACGACTCTCCGTGGTAACTTCGTGAGAGATGAATTTACTATTGCCATTCGCTAAGGACTTTGCACTTCCCTTAGTTTCTTTTCATAGTTCCTATTAGATTGCACATCTCATCTCTATAAGACCTGAAGACTTTTGGTAAAAGTGAAGGAAGCATGCCCCTACCAAGCCGAACTGAGCCCATTTCTCTATTAACATCAGTCGTGCGGCTTTCAGTTTGAAATCCTAAGGTGTTAATTTTTAACATTTCAGTGGGCTGTCTTATACAAGAGTTCATGGTTGAGCTTACAGAGAAGGGAGAGGGGGAAGGGGGTCGCTTCGTCAGAATGCGAAGGTATGGGAGGCTAGGGAGACGGTAGAATGAGTGAAAGGGCCCGCTCGCCCAACCCTTCCTCCAAATTTTCTCCACCGGGAAAATCCGTCTCACAGCCTACATGTGCTTTTGAGGAATCCTAATTCTCTCAGAAATTCGCCATCGAACGAGAGCGGGTTTACGAAAGGGGAAATTGGAGTTTAAATATGACTCCTGTTGTGCACAAGATGATGTGCGGTGTGGGAAAGGAGTGGAGGGATGGAGAAGATGGCAGCGCTCAAGGCAGAATAACAATGTTTCTCTCTCTTCTACCTCCTAGCTTTGATTTTTCGAACCTCATTTTCTTAACAATAGAGTTCTGGTAGTATAGTCTGCCACTAAAATGTGACTTTTTCACATGGACGCCATCGCTGTTTTTGATTTATCCTCAGAGTGTAGGCGGAGATACGGTAGGGATTTTGATCGACTACGTCCTCCAAAGATTTAGCCTGGGACTGACAGTGCATCCATAGTCCGCGATTTGGTTGGTCGCCCCGACCGCGAAGTATGAATGCGCTCTGAAGGAACACTGTCACATTACCGTGTGGCCCACATGAACTGCAGTAGTACAGGCTGTGTGGGCCGGTGTTACAGTATAGTGAAGTGGCTTTGTTTGTTCATTCCAAACCCTTTAATGACGTGCCCCTTCTAACTCGTGCTATATCGTAGCTTCAGGGAATGCTCACTGCTTGCTGGTCAGTCACCGACTGCGTTGAGATTAGTATACGAGGAACGTCCGATATTATCTTTTCTGTTGTGGAAATCGAACACGATGAGTGGTCATAAAAATCTTTATCTACAAAACGAAAGCCAATACAACAGAACTAAGGTTAGTGATTCATATAGTTATGCTTTAAAAGCTTTCTCACAATACTACCTTTTATGATTAAGGGTAAACATCAATTTTGACTTTCCATGATTTCTCTTCTACCACATGCACTTTTGTGCGGTTACGTTTTCCATTCCCCTCCGAACCCCTCTCATAGGGCGATTCCGTACTCTCAGTGGGCGATTCGGAACTTCTCTCATTCGGCGACTCTACTTTTTTATCTGAATGACTCCAGGAGAAGTTCCTAGTGCCTCCCTTTGACAAGTCAATTAATTTTTTCGCAGAAATATATAAAATGTCCTTGGTATTGTCATGATACGATGTTTTGAGATCGACGTCGATCTGAAAAACTGAAATTATCGTGAAATATTGTATAACCACTTTGACATGATAAGCTATCAAGCAGGGTGGAAAGCAAAGCTTAGGTAGCGGCAAACCTTTTTACCATCTAGCTTGAAACTCGTGAAGTTTGCGAAATACTTGTAATGAAAGATCTCTATTAAATCGAGCGTGGGAACGGCCAGGAATTTCTGGAATCATGAGCTGAGGATGTATTGCAAAACTTTTCTTTTTCTTCCTAGGTTAGGCCTCACGCGGAATATCAGCATTTTTATTCATTAAATAACAAGCTGGCTGCCGCAAAATGTCGCGTGCATCATACGGGGCACCCCGCAGAACTTACAACCGACAGCATGTCCTCACACTGTACCTTTGACCCAATCCTTTTCTGCACTTGCGCTACCCATTAGTCGGTGCCACTGCTTTCCCGTTAAATTCATCGCTGTTTTGCATCTGGAGTTGATTGGAGGTCCTGACACGAACTCGAATTTCATTTTTCGGCGCCAGCGTCATGTACGGCGAAGTGACTTCATCCCCCGAGCATAGCTCTAATAGAAGAGCAGACAACTAGAATGCCTTACGTTGGTGCTTCTGCCAAAAATGAATATCAGATCTGTGATCAGGACGTCAAATAAGCTTAGCATGCATGTTTGGTAAGAAGGTGATGACGCCACTTTTGCGCTGGCTCCCGGAACCGTTGTCACATTCGTGATCAGACCACCGAGTAACTGCTATAGGCATAGATTCAGCGCTAAACGTTCTGAGTTAATAGTGGTTTTGGAGATTTTGAGTAATCCACACTATCGAGTCGTTAACCGCAAAGTTCACAGTTAGGCGAAGATGCCGCAATTCCTCTCACTTTTGTTGCTTCAAAAAGATCGAATCCTGCTCGGAGCACGGTTCTATTCGTTAGCTGCTTCCCTTAATCAAGCCTTGCCTCCTCCGTTTTAACCAAGGTGGTGCTGGGCAAGATGATGAAGGTACAGTTCGTCTAAGGTGTTCCGTCGGGGTCACTTGGGGCCCGAAGTTGGATATTCGGTAACAAGCATGTCTAAGAAGACAACATTGATTCGGGTAACAGTTCTTCATTGATCATTACGGATTTCATACTGTGCTACAGCAAATATCGAAAGAGGAAAATGGGGGGGGGGGCAGGGGTGAGGCAAAGTAGCACCTACCAATATACATAGCAGGATATCTCTACATCTATGGTCAAAAGATACTGCTTCAAGATGGTAGCTTGGCGCAGTTCGGCGACGGCGGGGGCATTTTGCTTTTCATCGATTATCGACCCATCTAGATAGCCTTTTCTCGAGTTGACACGTTTTAGGATGGTGGCTAGACGATCTTGCTCCAGCTTCACAAGAGTTCACAAGTTTCACCAGAGTGACTTGTAAACCGGAAGTAGTGAAGCAGTGAAAGTGCAAAATGCCCCCCCCCCGTCGCCGAACTGCGCCTGGTACCTTCAACAGTTCATGCGGATGCTTTGAATTTCCTCCTCGCTACTCGTTTTGGAACGAGTCTTGTAATGTCTATGTCCAGTGCAAGGCGCAATGAGGAAATCCTCGAACGTATTGTCGCACTAAAAGCGCCGCCACGCTCTCTCCATCTCCGAAATTGGGAGAGTCTATCATGTGCTACTTTTTCCAGCAAGCATTTATCGAAGAGTAGCTCAACTCACAGCTTGTCGTTCCGTTTTGATTGTCAAACGTCCGCCGGTGGTACTCGTGGTGTACTTGAATGACCAGTGATAGAAATTATGTGTAGCGAATGATTCGACCACACTCTCGCCGTCATCCCAGTAAAGTACCCCTTCAGCCTGATGTTTCTTCTTTTCTGTAGTTCAAGAAGTGAAGTAATATTTACACGTGTGATGAGCACTATTTTTCCAATTTACAACCGCAAATCAAGTTATATTTTCGAGGCATTTTTCCTCCCAAGCGCTGACATTTGAGTGAAAACTCTCCACACGTAGAATAACTGTGCGTAAGGGTAGGTCGACAATCTGAACACAAATATCGCATCTGCTTGGGTAGCTAAGAGTTAGGGGTGGAGATGAGGATGTCCATGCTGTAGACCTCAGTGCTAAAGCAGGCCGGTGACACCGGCTTTAGATGCTAGGCTGTTCCGTGCCCAACAAATGTGATTTGTGCTCAGAAATTAGACAACCACGGGGGACTAGTTCTCAAATCTGATGAGGTATTTCGTAGCCAGGCGGTCTTGTGCCGAGGGGATGTGGTACAGATGTTCGGCCTTCGGCGCGGCGGGGGCTCGAGCTATTTTCTAAGCCAAGTTATAGAGAGATTAAAGACAGCCCCCGCGCTAAGGTAATTCGTGGTCGTCCTTCCCTGTGCAAGTACTTCAGCCACCCCTATGAGAATGTCCCGCTTTCGCGATCCCAGCGAGCGAGGAAGGTGCTCCGGCCGCCGAAAGTTCTAGTTCTAACACCCGCCCAGTTGGACCGCCCACTTGCTAGATGTCCTCTCCACATCTGACACAAGCCCGCTCCATATTGTTCTTTGTTGGGGCGGCGGGCAT